GCGAACTTCCGAAAAATGTCAATTGTTGGCGCCGAAATTTGCTAGTCCAAAAGCAAAAAAAATGCCAAGTCTTGGCCCCGAAATTCACAAGCAGCTAAGCGGTCTTTGAAATGATTCTAAATCCGAACAAAACTTTTCGGTAGTCCCTGTTCGGGCGCCATGAAGAAAATCGAAACCAAAATTAAATTATTAATAATTGAAACCGCCGAAAAGTGAAAAGACTTTGGCTTGGGTGCTGCAAAATTTGGGGGAAGAGAGAACACAAGACTGGCCGATTCGATATTCAAAATTCAACTCGTTTATTGTGCCCAGCAGAGCAGTTTTGTGAGAGCCTTTGAAGGCCCGCTGAATCCGATCTTAGCATAGATCTAACATAATAAGCGGTGAACTTAACACTGTTGGGCTCTCTTAAGCTGGTACTTATTAGTATCTTAACAAAATTTAAACTTCATGATTAGCTTAAACACTAACCATGTACTCGGAAATAGTTAAAGAAACACAAGAAATGAGAAACCATTTCCCTCAGTCACATATGTGGCAGATATTAGACTCAGATTTACGACACATTCAGACTCTCATAGATACCGTAAATGTTCATCATAGACACGCTAAAAGCATAAATTTACTAGGCACCGCATTAAAAATCGTAGCCGGTACTCCAGATTTTGATGACTTTGAGAACATTAACTCATAGAATCAGAAAATAGACAAATAAATATTAACACAGAGACCCAGGAACAAATAAACATCCTAACGAACACGGTTAACATTTTAGTAAAAAAATGCAAAAGCAAAACAGATAAATACAGAAAATTTATATGAGACTTGCTATCAAGAAATATAATTATTATTTTCGAACTCGAAGCCTTGATGTTGTCGGTTACTCTTGCAAAAATTGGAATAATCAACGCCGCGATTTTAGACTTACAAAATTTAATCAATGAACATTCCACAAATGTTACTATAACTGATTTAATGGAAGTAGCTCAAATTAAAGTTTTATTAAATAATAATTTTTTACACTTTATATTAAAATATCCTAAGCCCTACATAGCTTGTGAGAAAATAATCTTGTACCCCTTTGAACACAACGGCACTATTCTTAATTTTGCAGAAGGCAATAGTATAGCTGTATAACAAAATCATGCCGATTGCAAACTGCAGCGCTGCCCTTACGACAACATTCTGCAGAGAAATGCCCTATGTAAAATGCGTACAACAACTCCACTCAGGAGGCAACGCACACTGTTCGACCCGCACCAGCCACCTCGAGCCACTAACAATCATCGATGACGGCGTTATTATTCTCAATGACGGAACAGCTACGGTCAATGGACAACTGGTAACTGGAATGTTCCTCGATACATTCGACGAAGAGGTAAAAGTAAACAACACCTTATACCGAAACTTGAAGAGCTACGTAAAAAAATTCCCTGCACCCGCTGCATCAACGGTCCTTAACATTACAGACCATCAGGAAATACTGAGTTTACCATACTTACAGAAATTAAACATGGAAAACCTACGATACATTGGCGAAATGGAAAAGAGACTGGTAAACCGGCCTATAATATCTGGAGTGGCCGCGATCGCTTTCTTTGCCATCTGCTTTATCATTTGCAAGCTATACCAAAAATGCCAGAGAGTTCGTCGCCAGCATGACCTTTAAGTTATTATTGATGGTTTCAAGAAGTCCGAGGACGTCTTTCATCTAAGCGGGGGAGGAGTTAACACGGTCACCCGGCAACAGAGAAGTTGCCAAGCTGATCACGCGTAGCCGACATAGAATAATGCAAAGCCAGCGACACGGTCAGCGCAATCAGCGGGCAATTCACTTCGACGCAATCGACGGCTACCCAACACCAGACACGGGGCGCCGGGTCAGAACTTTCTGGGCATAGGGCTACCTTTCGTTATAAGAATTTATGTACTTAGTATTTAGTTGAATTTTGGAAATCAATCGCGACGGTCATCGCCTCTGGTAATTTGTTGACTTTAAATAGCGATATCGGCTGAGTGGGACCGCCAAGATTCACTTATTGCTACTTTCGATTATTTATGCATTCAGGTCGCTGGAACCGCTGGACCGAAGAAGGCGATTATTTAAGTTATGGCCGGACATTTATTGAATACAAATTGAATTACTTCTAAAATTTTCTTTTGGTGGCCGCTTGGCTTGGATAGAGCCGACACCAGCGGTTTTGGGTATCTCGCCCAATGTGTAGCTGACCTCCAGATGCTGGGCCCAGCGAAGGGCAGGGTTAGCGGCGGCTATAGCTGAGGCAGCTAGTGGACGGTCACTGCTCTTCCGTTGTCCCGCTGCTGCCGATGCAATTCGGACGCTGACGTTCCGTCGCCGTCGCTGCATCGCTGTCGTCGTTGAAGTTCGTTCGATGCGTCGCCGTCGGTGCATCGCTGTCGGTGGTCTCATAACTTAGCGGCTGCGTTATTGCAGCCACTTGAAATTATAGCCACTTGAGTATTTGTTGTCGTTGTGTGGCTGAGTGGGGTAGAGAATGGTGCGGTGTCCGGTGTCGTTGGAATCAAGAGGGGGTGAAGGAAAGGAGGCGCTTTGCCGGTGTTAACTTTTAGAGCTCTAATTGAATTCTGATGAGTTGAGTGTGTAATTAAATTCTAATGAATTAAGTGTGAGAGTAAATACGTCGCTATATATCTTCTTGTCAGTTTTGGTGAAAATAAAATTTATAAAATGTATCCTACAATAAAATATATTATTTAATAAAAGAAATTTTAATGCACGACGCCAAAAAAAGTTGCCCAAGAGCACCGAAACCTCAAACATTACCTCCAACACCCTCGAGACAACTGAATTAAATTAAGATTAAGACTTAGAATTATAATAAATAATAATAACCAATAAATGTAAGAAAATATTATAATTAAATAAATGGAAATATTGATAAAATTATGTGTTTATTTGCTGATGAAAAAGCGGAGTAATTCCTAATGAAATTAGATGATTATTAAGGCAGGCTTGCACCTTGTGAGGTCAAAAAAATCAATTTTTTTTTTGCAGTTTCGGATAGATACATGTTTCTCTTGAATTATGAAAGTTATCGGCCGTTTGGTGGACCGATGTCAAGCGCGCGGGTCAGCGTGCGCGTGGGTCGACATACATTGTTCCCATTATAGTACAAATTTTCGAAACCATGTTTTCCGAGTTGGCGGAAGTCGTACAAGTCGCAAAAATTGAGCAATCGTCATGAAATTTTGTATACATGTTCCTCAGAAGTATGTGCATGTCTGGAACGAGGATCTTTTAAGAATATTAAAAATTGTTTATTTAAAAAAATAATGAGTAACGAAAAAATGAGGAAAAACCGATTAATTTTTGCATTAATCATGTTTTTTCAATTATCCTAGTTCCAGCGATGCGAAAAAGTGTACAGATTAAGAATATATTCGTTTTTTGCGTTTCTGATTATTTCTTAATATTCCAAAAAATCCGCCATGAGGACGAGTTTTTCGCGGACATGCCGCCATTGTTGGGGACTCCCACTCCCCCCTTCACCCTCAAAAAAATTGTGTAGCTTCAATAATCTGTACCCTACAACTGGCTAAAATTTTTTTTTTTATTTTTTTTATTTTTTTTTTATTCCCATACCTACCATACTTTCCAAGAAATAAATTGCAGAAAAAAAATCAGGTTTTGGGCGCCAACAAGGTGCAAGCCTGCCTTAAGTGATGAAAATGCAATGAATTACTGATGAAAATGCGAGGACAGTATTTCATCGCCAGGACAGTATTTCATCGCATTATCATCAGTATTTCATGTATGTTTTCGAGCTCTGTATTAGGTCGCCGCCAAACATATTGAACCAAAAGGTTACATTTTTACTCGTCTGCAATACCACGTCATCCCAAAACGAAATCGGAAGAAGAATATGCTCCCTTGTTCCTAATACAGAGCTAGAAAACAAACACCTATAAGCTACAGTCAAGCATTGTGTCATGTTATGATTTCGGCCTGTATAGCAGCTTCTGGCGGGGCAACCTCACTTTTACTGAAGGGTCATGGATGGCCAAGATGTACCTACAGATTTTAAACGAAATCATGCTGCAAACTCAAAATTTCAGTTTTTTCATGAAGGAAAAAACCTTTGACCGACTGTTTTTGGTCGGTGTATTGTTCGAGCAGGAAGTAGAGGCCTTGGCTTAGTCGGAGTTTGAATTAGCTATTAGTTCGACATTGTTCGGCATTCACGCGAAATAAATAAAAATGAGTTGTCAAGATTAATTGATAAGCTGGGCATTGTCGGAATAATTTGAATTCGGAGCTGTTGTAACTTCTTAAAGTGCTTAGCCTGAATTTCGTTAATTAAATTAAATCCAACTATCGCTTTACAGCACGAACATCTTTCCGTTTTAGGAAAACCCATATTAAGACAACTTTGTAGTTTTACATATACGGACATTCTCCTATATATAGTAATTGAAAACAATTTAAAAATTTCGGTTTTAATTTTTTAAAAATCGGACTACTGTATCATATAGCTGTTATATGAACGATCATCAAATTTATTGAAAAATCGACATAGGCTTATAATATATACTTAACTTTTGCTGCGGCTACAAAGGTTTATACACTTTGGTGGGCAAGTCACCTTTTTCTTGTATCCTTCTTTTTTCAATAAAAAAAAAATTATTTACCCTTTGCTTAACAGTAAGCTTTTTTTTCGTTGATGCCCCTAACAGCTTATGATTTTTATCATTTGCTTTTAACTTTGCCTTATGAACCATTATCTTCTGCACATTTTTTGGGCTTGCTTCTGCATTGATCAAGCTGTGCAACATTCAGCAATCGCTATAAAATCGTAAATAAGTTGAGATGTGTAAACAATTGTTCTTTGTGTACTTTTGACCACCCTTATATGTAATTGGTATATTTGTTATACAATCTATATTTGTTTTTTCACTTGTTTATTACTCACAGAAAATGTTACGTCTGCAATGTATTTTTTAAAATTGATAAGCGGCTATTTATTTTGGTAATTATATTTATTACAACTTTTATTTAACACAACAATTATTTAAATCTAATAGGCTTCGAGAGAGAGTTTGTAACTTAAGAGCCTTTTAGGGAGAGCAAATCAACATCATAACCTATGTTAAACTTCTGAGAGCAAATGTACTAACTATTTAAAAAACTTTAAAGTTAACGATCTGGTCATCTGACGATTCTACAAAAATGATATGAATGTATTATTTCTATGTGGTAATAAATTTTAAGTCATAGTAATTACAAATAAATCTTAATAAATAGTAGTTGAACAACAGCGAAGACAATTAAATGTAAGAAAGATATTTATAGAGGCCCGAAAAGGTTTACTGCTGGATGGTTATCGGCTGTATTACCCAAAAATTGACCATACAGTTCTTTGTAACGATCTAATGAAAGACCTCCACGTTTCCGATCTTCGTCCTGGAAATAAGAACATTGTCTAAAGTTTTAAACTTGTATTAGACATTTATAACTAACTTACATTCAGCAATGTTTCAAAGGCTTTGTCAATTGGTGTAATATCATCGATGGCTACTCTAGTTATGCAGTTATAACGGTATTCGTTAACTCCAACAATACCATCGCTATCTATATCAAGCAGCTTGAAGTTCGATTCAATGAATGCTCTCATTGCCTTTAAAAAAGAAAATATTTACAAAAGAAAATATTTACAATTTTATAAATTTTTGAAATCAGCTTATATATAACATAATTAAATTTATACACTGCAGTGTATAAATACATACATACAGTGCACTGTATGGGTTGGGTAACAGTAGTAAACATATCTTGCTTGAATAAATATTCTTCAAGTATTCAACATTCCTCGATTTTTAGCTTAAGTATGGATGTTTGGATGCGATTATCCTTCTGCTATGCTTTTTATGATTTTTACAGGATTGATACTTAAGCAAAGGACACAAAATGCAACCGCAATTTTATCGATTCCTCTAGCACCCAAAATGAGCTAGCAATTGGTAACGTAATATATAGTTTAGCCTCCCGGTTTTCTTTTTCAGTATTGTTCATTTCAAACGTTTAACTCGATTTGGATTTGATCAATTAAATAAGGATATGACAAACTAGCAAGCCAATAACAGTTAGAGGATACGGTTTCCAAAGTTTATGTTTTTGTATTTATTACTTGTGACTACAAATAATTAAAAAAAATAAAAATCCATATTTTATAAAACAAAGTATTTGGTCGGTCCGATTGTTTGAGCAAAAAGTAGAGGCATTTGATTATTCGGAGTTTGAATTAGCCAGAAGGTCGAATGCAAGGGAAAGCTTTTGTCAAAAATGTACAAATGACTTTATGTACCCGTTATCTGTAGAGAAAAGGAAAGTATGTTAAATTGGAATGTATATATGTAGTAGGTAAAAGGAAGCGTTTCCTATATATACTATATAATTTATCAGGACAAAAAGCCGACTCGATTAGGCCTTGCCCGTCTGTCTGGCCGTCTATCTGTCCGTATGAACGTCGAGATCTCGGGAGAACTCGAGATTTGGTCACGCCTGCTCAAACGCCCACAAATCACAAAACCCTTTTTATTTTAGGCCAGTTGTTTGGCCGAAACCACACTAATAATAGTATTCGGTCAATATTTATTGAGACACCAAATCGCACCAACACTTTAGAAGTTATAGGACATATTAAGTGCTAATTATGATGCAGGGATGCTGCCCTCTCTTAGATAGTGGGGTTGGAATTGCAGTTCAGCAAATGGCGCCACTTAATATTGGCGCCATAAGCTGTGGGAATATTTATTTTGAAATTGGTTAGCTGAGTAACGGGAATCTTATAGTCAAGGGAGTGTCTCATAGTTTTATAGTTATAAAACAGGAGTCAAATTTTTGGTGAAAACAACATTTTTAAATATATAAAAGAAATTTTTATTTTCAATTGAAAAAAATACTTTACAATAAATATATGTTTTTTCATGTCAAAGTTGATTTCAAATTAGGAATTAAGAATTTCACTTCCGTTTTTCCACGTTAGCCGATCCTTATGAAATTTGGTAGGTCGGATTGATTAGCCAAATATAAAACCCATAGAAAATCCCAACTTCCTAACTTTACAAACACCAAAGTTATGGCATTTTCGATCAATCAGTTATATGGCAGCTATAGGATATAGTCGGCCGATCCTTATGAAATTTGGTAGGTCGGATTGATTAGCCAAATATAAAACCCATAGAAAATCCCAACTTCCTAACTTTACAAACACCAAAGTTATGGCATTTCCGATCAATCAGTTATATAGCAGCTATAGGATATAGTCGGCCGATCCTTATGATTGATTGGCCAAATATAATACCCATAGAGAGTCCCAACTTCCTAACTTAACAAACAGCAGAGTTATGGCATTTCCGATCAATCAGTTATATGGCAGCTATTGGATATAGTCGGCCGATCCCGGCCGTTCCGACTTATATACTGCGTGCAAAGGAAAGAAGGGTGTGTGCAAAGTTTCAATTCGATAGCTTTAAAACTGAGAGACTAGTTTGCGTAGAAACAGACAGACGGACAGACGGACAGACAGACGGACAGACAGACGGACAGACAGACGGACAGACGGACATGGCTATATCAACTCAGGAGGTGATCCTGATCAAGAATATATATACTTTATAGGGTCGGAGATGTCTCCTTCACTGCGTTGCACACTTTTGACCAAAATTATAATACCCTCTGCAAGGGTATAAAAATGCATCAAAAATTCATTCCAATAGAAAATGGTACAAAGGAAATTACCGAAAACAATAGAGTTCCGGTAAAGTACACTCAATCAAAACAAATTAATTAAATTAAAAAAGCAAACAAAATAACTGATATCAACTACCCAAAGGCATTTGCAACTTTAAATTGGGTATATGACAACTAGTGTTTAATTTTTTTCGTTTGTACTTCACATATTTGACCTTATGCAGCGTCCGTTCGCTTTGTCGACAAACAGCAATTTACAAATCTATGCTTTAATTAGGTCGCAATAATGTTATGCCGTGACATTGTTAAATCTCGATTGAAAGAACTATGCCAAGAACTATGGCAAGAGTGTTAGGATGCGATTAATAAACTTGGTCAGATTTTGAAATCCGATGAGACAACGCAAGGTTTCCGAAAATTCTTTAATCTTTACAAATGATTCCAAGGCTTTTGGTAAAACGTTCTTGTTTGTCTTTTATACCAGTCCATCCGAAGAAATTTAAATTGTAAGATTGTTTCCTATTACATTTGGGTGTGAAGTTCATTTGGATCAGAATCGGTGGCTAACCGATTTTAATTTGGTTTTCTGACTTATCGCGCAAGCAATCACGCTGAGCTTATTGTTTTAAAGTCAATATCCTTGTCTCAACCAGAGAAGACGGTTTAAGTGTTAAAGTAATTTTTGTAGTATTAAATTCTGTTTATGGGTGTACCGTATCAGGCCGGTGCGACTCATAGTAAAACATGTTAACGCTTGACATGTCGATTTGGATGTTCTATGAAATCTCCATTCGTAGTTTAATACTATTATTATTTCAGTTCAAAAAATATGCTGTTACAGCTGGAATCAAGTAACTTTCAATTGATAGATTGTAGATAACAAAAGGATTAAAACTTATTCAACTTTCCAACTTTCCTTGTTTTTTCAACATACAAATTTATTGAAATATTGGATTTGGCCGCATTTGTAGCTTAGATCATAGGTTGCTTAAGTCCACGAACGAGTAAATTGGCGAGCATACAGATACAAAAATGTAAGGTCTCTTTTAAAGCCAAAAACGGAATGTTTCTAAATTATCTTCCTAGATTTATGTGAAAGCGTTGTACTTAAAAATTGATCAATGCTCTTCATTAATGCTTGTTTGTATAATTCCCTGGGTATTATCTGTCCTGTTTGTAATATAAAAAATTCCAATTCCTGAAATTCCTCAACAAAAAAGACAATCGATTTCCGTTAGGCTTGGAGAGTTGGGTTCATTATAGCAGATTTAGCGAAGCCACAGGGATTTGCAGACTTCAGATAGCAAGCAATGTTGACTTTACCAATCAACAAGCTATTTGTTAATGGGGGGTATGGTATTTAAATTTTTGTTGGCCTGTTTTTTTTAAAATTTTTTTTTCTTAATGCACAACATTTGAAGAATATTGCGTTACAATTATGGGCAGTTAAACATAGGTGAGTTAGCTCGTTTTGTATGTGATTTTTCGATGTCCAAAACTTTAAAAACGCTCTCATGAAAAGTTGCAATTTCAAAGTCGGTGAACACGATCCTGCAAAATCTACTAAATCCGCAGGTACTGATGTCGAGTTTTTTTTACTTATTTTTTTTTTTTAATTTTAGGCTAAAATCACGTTTCTTACTTTAAAGTGTTACCAAAAATCCAAAAATTGAATTAAAAAAAAAAAGTTAACGTAGTTACCTTTAGAAACATATTTACTAATAAACATTTTTTTTTTTGGTTTTTTCTGATAAACCAGTAACGAGTTCTGCTGTTTACCGCAAAACCTTTTTTCTTGGAGGCGCCTACGGAGCCTAAACGTAGTTTAAATGTTGTACTTTAATACGGTTATAAAATAATTTATCTGACATTAACCGTATCGTGTTAAAAAATTTATGAAAATAGGCCTTTTTTTGGACGAATTAACCATACCCCCTCGGGGTCCCTCCTTACCTTTTCAGAAAAAACTAGTTAACTAATCCAATAAAAATTAAATCTCAAATTTTCAATTAGCAATAAAATATTTCTTCAAAAGAACACGGTCCTTGCTTTCAGCTAATGACCAAAAAGTTATTAAAAATGCAACATATTGAACCACTAGACTCTTTTCTTACCTGTGGAAATTCCTCGTATTTTTTGCCCACACATGTTTTTTTAACTGCGTCCTTAAACTCTTGGTTAGATATTTTTCCATCCTAGAAAGATATATTTTAAAAATAGATGCGGTTAAAACTCGTGGTTATACGTAATAATTTATTTGCATTATACACCCGGTCAGTGCGCACCAGAAATAAAAATATTCTTTTATCTATTGATGGTTAGCTGGCTTATTAGCGAGTGGGCCATTTAAGCCAGTAATAATCTACAAATAAAAAAATTGGTGAAAACAAAATCATATATTCAGACCAATACCTATTTAAATGAATATTTTGTATGAAATTAAATTTATTTCTTTATGTAAGACAAAAATATAACCTTAGATCGATCAATTTGAACAATAAAAAAGTCGCCATTATTTAAACATTTTCTTCACTAAAGATTCAATACGAAGGAATAAGTTAAGCTCCTCGAAAGTAGGTCAAGACTATATTGACACGAGTGGTGCCCACACTAGCGATCCGACACCCACTCTCCTGTTTTCCGGTTGCCAAGTCAAATGGCCGTAGGTGGTCTAACCAGAGTAAAGCATGCCAGGAGCAGCGACCAACAAGTACGAGCGATCTACAAGGAGGCGAAGTACGGCATAGAGAGCTGCACGGCTGCACTCAAATTTTTTTACTCTCTCAGTACTCTTGAGCTGTGTACTCTAATTTGAGCACAACGCATTCAGCTGATCGAGTTCTCATCGCACTGTATTCTCATTTGAGCGCAATTTTGAGAATTCATATGAAATGGCATTGAATGAATGTGTGTGCAAAACGGAATGAATGAATGAATGAAGCATATAATTGACTGAATACTCAGAATACAATTTGTGCGCCGCTGATTGCGCACTGCGTTTTACTTTTCTGCAAGCGTTCGCCAAGATGAGTTCGGAAGATTTTGGCGGAAATAATGTAAGTAATTTATGTGTTCGTGTACTAACAATTATTTATTTTACAGTCAGTGTAAAAGACTTAAATGCGTACCAAGTGACATTTCTTGTCTCTACACTATAACGGTTGTTTGTTAGTACGCTTTGATCCTTCTATTCGCCAGATGGTCAGGATAGTTCGATGCGAACATGAGAGAGAAATGTTGCGTGAGGTTAGGGGTTTGAAAGAGAGATACACACTACGATTGTTGTGCGTGTATGCTTGAACCACTGCGAGAGACAGAGATAGAAGTATGTTCGTTGAAGCTTTTGCTGGAGAGCATTTTCGGTAGGCTAGAATGTTGGCGGACACTTTTAAGTTGGCAGTGGCGTGATCAGGTTTATTCGCCGTATACAATCTGCGTATTTAAATATGGAAGATAATAATATCAACCCGACATCAGAAGTGGGATCAGTGCCAACTCCTGCATTTTCTGAAGATCAGTGGCGTACCATTATGGAACTGCAAAATCGTAATTTCGTCGAAATGTGTAAGGCTATGCAAGCGTCTGTGCGTCCACAAAATCAAGTGGTTTTCCCAAAATTTAACTGGAGCTGATGCGACTCAATGGTGTGCGACGGCAAGCATTATTATGGACGAACAGCAGATTAATGGCAGCGCACTTATCATGATGTTGAGTAGTTGCATGCAGGGCAGTGCTTCAGCGTGGCTTGCACAGATCTGCTATTCCGGCATTTATTGGAAGCAGTTTAAAGAACTATTTATACAGCGTTTCGAGATTAAGGAAACGTCGGCAGCTATGTTCCTGAATCTGCTGAACAGCCGTCCAGCCTACAATGAGTGCCCTGCAATATACGCAAGCCGTATGGTGACGTCATTGACCACAAAGTGGCGCAATATGAACGTCGAGGAAATAGCTGTATCCACGGTACTTGCGCACATGGCCAATTTTGACAACCGTTTGCAGCGTATGGTGTTCTCGTCAAATGTACAAACTAGAAGTCAACTCCAGATGGAACTGAAAGCATTTACATTTGACAAAAAGCGTAGTGCTGGAATTACTGATGGTAATAGCGGCGACAGCAAGCGAGCCAAAATTGTGTGCCACTTATGCAAGAAACCAGGACATAAAATGGCGGAGTGTAAATTAAAGCGGTCTGGATCGGAGAATAAACAGCATCGCGATTTGCAGAATGTGACCTGTTACCGGTGTGGACAACTTGGGCATCTTGCGAATCGGTGCACGAACAATGCAGCTAAATCTGGAGCAGTTATTGAGAAGAAATGTAATCAATGTTTTGTGGCTCAGCCATAAGGAGTTTTGACACATCAGGGTGAGATCTTTCCTATTTGCTTTGACTCTGGAGCAGAATGCTCGTTTATTCGAAGTAGTGTTGCCGGTAAATTTGATGGCAAACTAATTAATAATATTGTCATAATACGAGATATTAGCGACGCTGGCATTTCCAGTAAGCTACAAAAACTATCTAAATGTATTATTAATGGAAATATTGTAGAAATACTGTTTCACGTCATTGCAGATAAGTATCTCACAAATGATATTGTAATTGGTAGGGAAATCCTTAGTCAGGGATACGAAATCATCTTGACACCTGATAAATTTGAATTTGTTAAGTCTAAATCTGTAAAAGCCTGTAAAGTATCTGAGCCATCTGCCTTGTTACTTAATGTTGATACTGAAATGATTGGTAATGACAAGGAAAACTTAATTAAATTACTTGAAGACTATTCAGCTGCATTTATTGATGGAATCCCTTGCACAAAGGTTACTTCAGGTGAAATGACTATTAGATTAATTGATCCAAACAAAACTGTGCAGCGGCGTCCATATCGTTTGAGTCCAAATGAAAAAGAAATTGTACGTGAAAGGATAACGGAATTGTTAAACTGTAATATTATTCGACCTAGTTGTTCTCCCTATGCTAGTCCTATACTCTTGGTTAAAAAGAAGAACGGATCCGAACGACTTTGCGTTGACTATCGTGAACTGAACAACAATACTGTTTCGGACAGATATCCCTTACCACTTATTAACGATCAGATTGCTAGACTAGCGGGTGCAAAATATTTTACTTGTCTGGATATGGCTAGTGGATACCATCAGATACCCATTCATCCCGATTCTGTTGAATATACCGCGTTTGTTACACCTGATGGGCACTATGAGTATCTGACAATGCCATTTGGCCTCAAGAACGCCCCGTCTGTTTTCCAGCGAGCCATTATAAACGCATTGAAAAATCTTGCATAATCTTATGTAATAGTCTATATGGACGATATAATGGTGGTGTCATCTACCATAGAATTAGGTATGCAAAGATTGAGGATTGTTTTGGATGTATTGACTGCAGCGGGATTCTCTTTTAACATAGCAAAATGTGGATTCTAAAAATATAAAATCAAAAACCTCGGTTCTAAATTATAAAATAATCCTTAACTTCAGTAACAGTAAGATATTAGAAAAATATTATCTATCCCTATAAATGAGCTTGTACTTGTTATTTTGATCCACACAGATGCTATGAGCTGGAGAGTTTTTTTTTTTTTTTTTTTTTTTTTTTTTTTTCGCGCGGAGTCCCACGGCCCACTTACCCGCCCAACCGACCGAGGGGCGCAGCCGTGTATCGTACGGCACGATTCGCGATAGGATAGACGCGAGATAGGAAAATAAAGGTAAAGGTCCGGGGAAAAAGTAATAGTTAGATCAATCTTGTGCCAATGAAGCAAGTATTAATCGTTTTAGGAGCGGCAGAGAGTCAAGATTTGATATTACAGGAAAAAGTCTATTATAGTCAGAACATAATACTCTGAAAGGCTCATGCAAGGCATAGTTAGATCTACAATGATTTAAAATTAGGGGAATATAATTTCTAGTTAATCTACTTGGCACAGAAAAGTTTAGCCGACTTAACAAGTCGGGGCAGTCAATATCACCATGTATAAGGTTATAAATAAAGATAGTACCAAGCATCGTTCTACGGTTGGCTAGGGATGGTAAATTAATCAAAAGAAGTCTACTAGAATAAGAAGGTAAGATAAGATTTGCATCCCAGTTTAGGCGCCGTAAAGCAAAAAGAAGGAAGTTTTTTTGTACAGATTCAATACGACCAATATGTATTCCGTATTGTGGACTCCAGACGGGAGACCCATACTCCAGAATCGGACGGACTAGCGAAATAAATAAAGTTTTAGTCAAATAAGGATCATCGAATTCTTTTGACCACCTTTTAATAAATCCAAGCACTCCTCTGGCTTTATTAACCATGGACGAAATGTGATTAGAAAATTTTAGTTTAGGGTCCAAGAGAACGCCAAGATCGTTTACAAGAGTTATTCTATCCAAAGAGCTGCCACTTAACGTGTAAGTCGCGTATATCGGATTGGCCCGATAAAAAGTCATCAGCTTGCACTTGGAGCCGTTTAAATTTAGTAAATTATCTCGGCACCAGTTTTGAAAATTATCTAGATCGGATTGCAAGTCTAAATGGCAGGAAATGTCCTTATACTGCAGGCACAACTTAACGTCATCTGCGTACATAAGTACGCGAGAATGACTTATAATTGAGGGAAGATCGTTAATAAATAATGTAAAAAGTAACGGACCCAGATGGCTCCCTTGTGGGACACCGGAGGTAACACGGAGAATTTCAGAAATTGAATTTTTAAAAAGGACCCTTTGTGACCTGCCATTTAGATAACTTGAAATCCATTTAAGCAGATCAACTGGAAAACCTAAAAGGTCAAGTTTATGAATAAGAAGTAAGTGATTTACAGAGTCAAATGCTTTACTAAAGTCAGTGTAAATGACATCTGTTTGAAAACTACTATTGAAGCCTTTTATCACAAATGTAGTGAGCTCTAGAAGGTTTGTAATTGTGGATCTACGTTTAATAAATCCGTGTTGACACGGAGAAATAATTGATCTGCAAAAGTGCTGCAAATGAGGAGTAATAATTTTTTCAAATAGCTTAGGAATAGCTGACAACTTAGAAATACCTCTGTAGTTACTGGCTTCTAACTTGTTACCTTTTTTGAAAAGAGGAATAACAAATGATTCCTTCCAAATATTTGGGAATTGGGACGTTTCTAGAGAAAGGAAACAACTTGAAGAGGTTTGCACAGGGCCTTAGCGCAATACC